AAAAAAAAAAAAAAAAAAAAAAAAAAAAAAAAAAAAAAAAAAAAAAAAAAAAAAAAAACAGTTTAAATTGAAAAATTAGAAAAAAATTTAAACAAGTTTTTTTCTTCCTTTTTCTCAATATTTAATAGATTACTTAAAATATATTTAAAATTGTACATATACCTATACCATTTACACATACCTATAATGAACTGGAGAAGTAATTAAAATTTACAAATATGTCTTTCTTTCTTGAGTTTATGATTGTAATAACTATTTATTGATAAAAAATTAATATTAATCATAAATATGAGCTTATAAAGTATCTGGCTCTCACTTACAAACAAATAAAATAAACCGTGTTTATAAGTTCCCCCTTTGAAAATTTGATTTCCGGAAACTTCTGTGATCAATGATTTTTTGAAACCTTCGATCTCCAGAAACTTCCGGATCACTGTTAGCAAAAAATCTGGAGATCCGGATTTTTTCTGGAGCACAATCAGCCCTGGATAAGAGTCACAGCTTATCAGTATACATTTTAGCACACAAATGCATTTTGAAAGGGAGAAAAAAACCTTCCTTTAACATTCATTAGTTAAAAAATAAAAATGAAAATTAGTCAAGCATTTTCAGGGTGTGTAGACAGATTTTTTTAAACAAAAATAAGCACCTTTTAAGCACTTTTAAAAAAAATTATAATTAGGATTTACGCAGTAATAAAAAAAAAACTTCTATCGTTTCAAGTTCTTAATTTATAAACATAAAATCAATAAAATTAAAAAACATTTTCAAAAACTTTAGATAATCATGATAAAATAACTAGCTTCTGATAAATAAAGCAGAGAAAATTGTGAAAATCATGCTTTTTTTTTGTAATTTAAAATGACAATCGACTCAGCAAAGAAAAAAACAAACCCCAAATGAAAAGAAAAAGCACCTTTATGGGCTTTTAAAAAACGTACGTCAAAAATAAGCACTTTTTAAAAATGCCACACATCCTGAACTCAGAATAATTAATAAATTCCAAAACAAAAAGCATAGAAATGAGAAGAAAAAAAATTTTTTTTTCATATTGCTAAAGATTATTGTCTTTTGTATGTAATTACCTTGTATGTAATTAAACGTAGTTACCTTGCATGTTCTCTTAGTAAAGGGAAAAGCTTATGGCACACATTTAATGTAGCAAAAAAATTAACTTTCACTGTATTCATAGCTTGCTCAGGGAAAGGAGTTTTATCTGCAAACTAAATAAAAAGAAAATATTTATTAACAATGCTAAATTAATTTACATGTTTCAAAACAAAATTAGTTTTATAGCACCTCACCTCAACATTAAATTTACTTCTTTAACACATTTAAAGCTTAAGTTCCAAAGAAATGAGAGAAATTCAATAGATATAATAGATTTAATTTAACAGATATAAATTAGTAGTATAGGCAGGATTTCAGAAGAGCTACAGTTTTTTGTACACATACTGTGATGGGTATATGACTAACATAGCAAAATGAAAATATAATTGTTTTGGCTGTTTTTATAATATCACAATAAAGTTAGTATTTTCAGAAAAAATTAACAATATCTTTTGCTAGTACTAAGTTAATTCAATAAGTTTAATTTAGTAACTTTTTTTTTAAAAAAAAGAAAAAGTATTTTATATCTTTTGCTTATAGCTGCAAATAAAAGTGGACCAGAATGACAGATTTCACCATTCTAAGTACAGTAAACAAATCAAAATTCAAGAAATAGAATAAAAATCAAGTATATGTTAAAACTTAATTACTTTATATGCAATAGCAGCATTATTAACTAATACATCCAGTCCTCCATATTGTTCTTTAATAAAAGAGGCCAATGATTTAATAGATTCCTCGTCAGTTATATCAAGTAAATGAAATTTCGGATGTAAGCCTTCTTTTTCCAGTTGCCCCACTGCATCTCTTCCTCGCTTCTCGTCACGAGCTAAAATTGGTACAAAATTTTAATATATAAGGTGCTTCTTAATCACTGTTCTCAATACATAAATTACATAGATAAAAACAACAATCATCGTCAAAAAATACAAAATTTCAAAACATATTTTTATTAGTTTGAATCTATATTTAGAAGATCTACAAAGTTTAGATTATTTTAAATTCTATACATTATTACAAAATATTCATTTGTGATGCTTATCATGCACATAATAAAATGCACATGTTAGTAATGCAATTTTTAATTACAGTTATGTAAGTTATAACAGAACGCAACTGATTATATAGGCTATAAACAATATAACAAGGATTCTATGCAGTGGTCTACAAAAGTGCAAACATTCTAGGAACCAGTATTCTATGAAATGGAAAGAAGCATAAATGTATTAACTTTTACTAAAATTTAATTTTTTTGGCATCATAACAACAGGGATTTTTAGACTCCTTATTCTAAGTTTATTAACATGATGAAGAGAGTGTTTATTAAAGCAAGCCTTTTGCATAGCTATAATAGCTATTTTTCTGGCAAGTATTTGCATAAATACTCTGCTAAAGACCATTTTAAAATCATGAATTCTAAAATGTACCTTTAAATGCAGTAAACAAAAAAATATTCTTAGTTTTTCAAAGATATTTAAAATTAAAAAAATAATTTGCTTTAAAATAGAAAACATTATAAATCAAAACAATCACTTTTAACAAATTTTCTTGTAAATTGAGTTGGTTTTGTAGTATTTTGCATAAGTAAAATGACGTAAAACAAGTAACAAGATAAATAAGATAATAAAAAAGATAAGTAGATGACAAAGTAACAAGACCAGTTTTAAGCAATTAGTTAAGATAAATTTGATCTTCCTCTAGAATTTAAAATTACAACTATATTGATTATCAAAATGTTTTTGTCATTTTATAAACATTTATTTTATAAGGATATAATATTTTAATAATGCATGAAATTGATTTTAAAAAACTATAAAAATAAAATATATTTGAGTAATCTTTCATAAATATTTTTTTTCCATAAAAGATGGTCAAAATAAAAGACAATCTTACATAGATTTTCTAAAAAAATATTGGTTAAAAATCTTTTAAAGTGAAATGAAATTTTTTTTCAAAGAGTAAAAAACTAATTTTGAAGCATGGGAAATCAATTGTATTGTAAGTACCAACTAGATTTTAATTTCTTCAGCAAAGTGTAAGATTGAAAAATATGCCTGACTGCACAAATAAAGTATGAGGAAAATTAGAAGAGCTTTGGGGAAATTTTTGGTCAACTAAAGGAAGAAAAAAAATTGTTACAAAATTTTAATTTGGCAAACCATATTAATTTACTGTCTAAATAGAAAAGGAACATTTTATGTTATGTTATATATAACACAGGGTTTCCGCTACGGTAGCTTTTTTCGCAAAATGCGAAAAGACCCCTCAAAAATGCTAAAATTCAACAAAGCATTTTCGCATTTTTGCTAAAGGATTTTACTAAATTCCATTAAAAAAAAGCTTCCGTGAAAAACCATGACGCTAACATCCATGAAAAAAACTTGATCAAACAGGAAGGAGAAAAAATCTAAATATCTTTCGCAAGAAGAACCATGACGCTAGCGTTATGACTGGTGTTAGAGCGGTGGTTGCTGCTCTGTTCAAAAACCAAAATCCGCATTTAATTTCAGTACATTGTGTGGCACATAGGCTAGCATTAGCCGTGAGCCAAGCAGCGTCTGAGAATGCTTACCTGGTAAAGTTTCAGGACATAATAAAAAGAATTCACTCTTATTTTGAATGCTCCCCTGCAAATACCAGGCGATTGAAGAATGTTCAAGATATCCTTGAACAAAAATCAAGGAAATTCATAAAGTTATCAACAACTCGGTGGTTGTCTTTGGGGAATTCAGTTACAGCTCTGGATTGCAACTGGCAAGCTCTTGTTAGTGTTTTAATGGAAGACAAACGTCCTGTTGCTCAAGGGTTGTTAAAAAATATAACTACTTTTTTGTTTTTAGCAACCACTGCCATCATGAATGATATCATGTTCAACATTAATAAATTAAGCCTCATATTTCAAAAATCTAATTTAAATTTTGAATATGTTCAATCAAGTGTGAAGGCTTGTATTTCAAGTTTAGAAGAAATAAAAAATGGCACCGGCACTCATTATATGAGTTTTTTAGATGATGTGCCTAAGAAGGAAAGTGAAAAATTTGAGTTTCAGGGCCATATAATTTTAGATGGACTGAAACAGAGGGAAAGATTCCGTAATTTGATGCACAATTTTTTAAACTGTATCATTGAAAATATTACTGATAGATTGGGAGATTTGGATAAAATCGAAATGTTCAATATATTTATACCTAGCAGGATGCCCCATAGTTTGGAAGAATTACAGCATTATGGTGTAAAGGAAATCCGTTGCATTTTCAATTTGTTTTCGGAATCTCCCAGAAAAGATTTTCAGTTTACAGAAACTGAATTACTTTGTGAATGGGGATTATTTGAACACATCTTAATGCAACGATGTAAAAACATGTCATTTAATGAATTACTTTTATTTTTATATGCCAATGATGTGTCTGAACAGTACCCATTAATAACTTCTGTTATAGAGTATTGTGCAACAATACAAATGCACACTGTTGACTGTGAAAGGGGGCTTTAGCTGCCTTAATTTGATTAAAACTAATATTCGAAACAGGTTGTTAATCAACCATGTGAGCAATTTGTTAATGATTAATATTGAGGGCCCTGAAAGTGCATTTAACTTTCGAGAAGCATTTGTAAAATGGGCAAACATGAAAGAAAGGAAGATTGTTAATTATAAACCAAAATGTTTTGATAAATAATAAATGTTTTTTTTTGTTATAGGTATTCTTTTTGATATTCTTGTACATTAAGCTATTCTTTGTCAGATAACTTACAGTACTTGTTTGATATAAAGTAATTTTATAAGCCTAATGGCATTTTAGCATTTTGCTAAAACTTTTTTTCAGATTTTAGCTTTTTTGCTAATGAATTTTTAGACTCAGCTTAAACCCTGATATAACACAAATAACTTTATACGCCATTTTTAATATAATTTTCTTTTATATTAGTTTGAATTCTTTAAATGAGTGGAATCTTAAATTTAGTTTTATAAATTATTACTATTTCAATATATGGCTATCCGAATAGCCTGGTTGGTAGGGCATTGGACCAATGTGCAAGTGGTCGTGAGTTCCATCCCCATGGTCCGAACACTCTCCATGTAGCAAATGGTGACAGGTACATGATAAATTATAAATTATTTTTAACATATATTATTTCTAACACATATAAAAAATTTCAATATACAAATATTTTCCTAAAATATTTAGAAAAAGCTTCTGAAACTTGGGGGAAAAAAAAAAAAACAATTTTAGGCAAAATTTGAAGCCACCCCCCCCCCCCCCAAAAAAAATTCTGATTATTAGTCTCTAAGGACTTTCTGCACCTCTGGAAAAGCACAGTTTAAATATATTCTTACATTATTTTTAGAATGCCAATATTATTTAATGCAGATTTTTTAAAATTCTAGGCAGACTTTTATAATAGTACCTGTAATGAGGACATTTCTGAAGGGTTTTTGACCCACCAACCAAGCCAAGAAAACCCCAATAAGACCTGTGCTGATACGGTTTCTTTAAAAAAAAAAAAAAAAAAAAAAACATTATCTGCCTTTATATCAATTGTTATTTTTTATTTGACATATAAATATTAATGCATAAAACACAAATATACATAACCCCTACTTTCGGAACTTACTGTATTTAGATAAATATTTATGTAACTTTGAATTAATACAATAATTTTTCTTGCTTCAACATTAAGAAAAATAATCATTTTTAAAAACAATTATTCGAGCTTTTTTAATGGTATTTGCTTTGAATTGAACAGGGGCAGAGTACAGGCTTGAACAACATTGTCTTTTTTTTCCTCCTCAATAAATAAGTTTTCAAATAGGAATATAATAAGCATATTTAAGCATTATATTATAACAAAGTATTAAAAATGGAATTTTTTAATTCTTTTCAAAAGAATATTTTTGTATTTTAAAATATCAATTCTATTTGCACAAATTCATAAAAGCGGACCCTGGTTGAAAGAATGTGAGTAATTTTTTCACAATTTCACGAAAAACGGACCTTTCACAAAATGTCAGGACAGACCCCTGTAATAATTAACAACTCATAGTTATTACCAGTAATATAAAATGAATAGTTATAATATGGGTCTTAAAGTATTAAGTGCATCATTAGAAAAACCGATTAATCGTTTTAATAATTTTGGCTACTTTGTTTAGATGAGATATATACTATAAATCATAATTATTTTATTCTAACATTTAATACAAGTATTATGCATGATTTAGTATTGAATAAAAATGTCTCCAATGTTAAAAAAAAAACTATCTAAGGTTTTTGATGGATTTCATCAGTTTATAACATCGAAAACTCAAACCTGGTCCTAGTTTTTCTTTATTTACTTTTATTTTTTAAATATTTTTACTTATTATTTTATTTATTATTACTCTATTTTTTAAAATAATCTCAACCTGAGCATTTTATTTGATATTCTAATTTTTAAATATCAGGGGAAAAAAACTCAAGCAGATTTAGATTACAGAGGAGAAAATTTCGAAGAACTATCATTCTGATTTTTTCATCATTATTTCATTACTTAGTAATATTTACAAAAATGATGTTCTCCTTAACAAGTAATGATTTTACTTTAACACAATTAAACAATTAATTACTTTAACACAATTAAACAATTGAATTTTAAAAACAATTGTTAAACAAAAATAATTCTTAATTTTTTTTTTTAAAAAAAGGATTTTTTTAAAAATAATTTAAAAAACTAATTAGGGAAAGAGATTGATTGTATCATGGAATTCAGCCCACTGGTTTTTCCAAGACTGATTTCAGTTCTCAGGACTGAAGAGTGGCACCCATGTAAAGAAGTTAAAGGGTATTTAAATTCTAAAAATTTAAAATAAAGGTGTGAAGAGATTTGCCCTGAAGATGGCTAAAAATTAGTCCTCGTCCGCGATTCCTATTTGACTGTCATTACTTGGTGATCTACTTATGTGAAAATCTCCTAAATATCCCTTTTCAACTTCAACAAAAACAAATAGCACATAATACTAAAAGAATAATGAAAAGTCTTTTTTTTCCTACAATATTCTAATTTTTTTTAATAAATTAGATCAATCCAGCAACAAATTGTGTGTAAATGTCTAACACATTGATAAAAGGAATTTAATATGATACACGATATTTAATATGAAATAAAATTTGCTAGTAATGAAATTAAATAAAAAAAAAAAACGGTTTCTTACAGGTCAAAATCACATCACCATCGAATTTAGAACATAATGCTCTAACAATAGCAATTCCAATGCCCTTGTTACTTCCAGTGACCTAGCGAAAAGTTTTCTAAATTTTAGTCAACATTCTTAAGAGCATTACAAAACAAAAAAGAATCACAATAATCAAAATAGACTCTTTTATAAAGTAACTATGTCTCTTAATTACTTACAACGGCAACTCTTTTTGTCATTTTAAAATTTTTGTCAAACTAAAATTTATCTGAACAACGTTATATAATGGAGAGGCGTTAAAAATGGGGAACGGCAAACCTTGGTAACAAGTTGTAAACAAACAATCGAGATAAAATTCATCTCTTTAAAAATACAAAGTTTTGTACTGTTTGTTTCTTAGTGGAACTGATTCAACTTAAACAATACTCAATCAATAATAAAGATAATACATGGAATCAAAACTCAAAAACCGCAATCAAAAAGTGCTTTCTGTTGTATTTATGAACCATACACATTCAGATTTTGTTTTTCACTTTAGTTCATTTAGTTAATTAGTAAAAGCATGCTTTTTATTGTTCTTTCTTAACCATAATCTTATGAACCATAATCTTATTTATGATTCATTTATTTTTACCAATATAATTAAAAACAAAAAAATGTTTTTCCTCAACTATGCATTATCAAATATTGCAACTGTAACTGTTACTTCAAATTTAAATGGCGGGTAGTTAAATTTGTAAGAATTGAATATGAATGACGGGTAGTTTAATTTTTTTTCTTTATAAATTGTATCTTGAGTTTTTATAATAAATAAGGCAGAACGCTTTGAAATATTTTACATTCTATGAGTTATATTTTCAGAATGAACTGTCAAATTTCAAAGTTAGCTGAAATATGTGGTTAGTTAAATTTTTTTAAATTTCCTCTTATGTTGTTTTTAAATAGATAGTATGAAAAATATATGTTACTCTTTCCTCTCAGATTATCAAGCAAGCTTTTCTCGCTTCACTCTAGTTGATGATAATGAAGTCTCAGATGAACGGCAAGAATTAAAAAATAATTTGTTGCGCGATTTACGCCGCTGCATTGAAGGTATTATTTATCATATTTCATTACTTCAAAATATTGAATTTTATGCTTGAATCTAAGCATTGTAAAAAATTGCTGTATCAACTGAAAGTAATTTACTTATTTCTATGAGATATAACTGAACTTAAAATGCTGAAAAAGTATGTCAGTTGTTAAGAATTTATTTTTTTTATGTCAACAAGAGGTATTAATTTCTCTCTAAATTCAAATATATTCTTAAAACATAATTAAGTACACTAAAAATTTTATACGTATTTTCTTTTTCAATAAAATCAAACTAAAAGCACTTCTCTAATTATTTTTTGTTTTTAATATATATCCTAAAACTAAAATGGTTTTGGGAATATTTGGATTAGGCAAATAAAATTATAATTTATACATTTATTCAGAGTTATTTAAAGGTAAACGTTTTAATTTTTTTTTGTTGAGAATATTGGAATTGTGTATTGGGTAAAAGCAAGAACCATGTATTAACCATTCTAAACCAGCCTCTGGTATGTAGGTTGTGATTTCCAATTTTTAACAAATTAAAAAAATTTAAATTTTATTTATTATCTCTTTGCTTTCTTTTGTAAAAATATGTCACCATTCCTTAAAAACTTTGCCTCTTTTATTCTTATTCCATTCTTTTTTTAAATAAACAAGAAGAGAATAATTCACTGTTTAAATAACTACACAACTGGTAAAATTATCTGTGTTTGTAGGTTTAATTCTAATTACAAATATTTATTTTATTAGGATTATTCTTACCTAGTTATTTTTTTTTTCCAGAGTTGGTATATTAATGAATTTTTTACATAATTTTAAAATTATTTTTGAATAAATACCTTTTTTTATTAAAAAAAATTGCACCTTTAATTTTTCATTTTCTAATAATATAATTTTCAATTTAAATTATAGAAAATAGCTTTCATGCTAATTGTTTAATTAATTTTTTTTAGTTGACTCTTTTTGAAAAATATTTGTGCACAGTCAATTGTCTTTTAGCATGCTAGCATGTCCTTTATCAAATGTTAGCACCCTAGCCAACTTTTAAGTGTCTATACTATACAGATTACATAATAGAATGTTGCAACCCTCTGAAATTCGAAGTTCGCTTGTATTACGATTAATTTTAAGTAACAGTGTAGGGGTATAACAAGAAAATAAATGTATATACTGCTGTAGCATTTAAAGAACAAACCTGAAACTCCGTTATTAAAAAATAAGCGTCTATTACACAGATTGCATATTAATACTAAATTATTATTTTATAATGCTAAACCCGGGTGTGTTGTATTTTAAAAATAGTGCTTAATGGTGCTTATTTTTGTTTTAAAAGCCTTTAAAAGTGCTTTTTTTATTGGGTGTTTTTAAAAAGTGCTTAATTTTCTCTTTTCAAAAATTAGATTTTTCTTTACCATGTCGATTTTCGCCACGTATTATGCAAAAGCATGGTTTTCACATTGTTCTATTAAATGTTTTCACAAATCATCCAAACACGAATTTCGGCGTACTGTAGTTCCGTAGTGTATGAAGACGCCAATAATTTTAAAGTTTGATGAAATGCTTGCTAGTTCGCATGTGCATATACTGAGCTGGACTCAGTGAGAATTATTCTTGCACTTTCATGTTTCAACTTGCCTGCATTTTGCAAGAGATTATCAATTTCCGGCTTCTTTTTCCTTCCTCTGAAATCGAACCGAAAAATCTTTATCTTTTTATTCAATAATGTAATCAAGAAAAAGGCCTTTGTCAGAAACTAGTCGTTTTATCATAATCATGTAAAATCTCTGAAAATTATTTGCATTTTGTTAATGTATATAGTGCTTAAAAATATTTCAAGTGCTTATTTTTTGTTGAAAGATTTGGCTATGCACCCTGTAAACATGTTTCGTTATATCTCTGCTGCAAGTTTCATAAAAGTATAGCAATATATAAACACAAAACTATAATTTAACGATGCCAAACAATCATGAAAAAAGATTCTATAACAAGCACTTATAAGGTACTCGCTTATATAACGTGTAACCTATTTCTCTTTTCCAAAATAGTTTGAAGTTGTACAAGTCTCTAATCGTCACTGTTGCAAATGCGCAGTAATAAAATATTGACTCCGCAGTCAAATTAAATCTTTTCACATACTAAAAATTTACTTCTTTACACGCACTCAACTTGTCGCATAATTTAGGTTGAAAACAAAGCACCACTACTCAAAATAAGTCTGACGTTCACATGTCAAGGCAATTATTTAATTTGGAAAAAGATCGGTATAGTGATTTTCCAGGGAAATTTATAATTGGCAATCTGAGGCAGCATATATTACAATTTTGCGCTTCTCTTTAAACTCCACTTTCCCTATCTTTACATCACACTTATCTGCTAATACAAGTACAATTCAACCGCCACATTGACAGTTATTGTCGTCAATCTTGGCGAGAATAAGAACCTAGAAAAATAGTTGCAGGTGCGTAACAAATCCTAGCCATTCAAAGTTTTAAAAAAAAATATGCCTGCAAAATAATATTTATTAATAAAGTTTTAATTTAAAGCACTTAACCTTAAATCTGAAATCAATAAAAGCTTAGTTTAGAGTTAAATTTTAAATAATTTTAGCTATCCCCTTATACAGTGAAAATTGTTAATAACTTTTACTAATATTTTGTAAGTTCAATGATAAATTCTATATTATATTTAAAAACTAGGTTACGGTTTATATTTTTCAAAACAATTTCGCTATAATACTTTTAATGAAAATTTTATGTGATTCTTATTTTAGTTGAAATATCCAAAAAGAAAACTGCAAAGGATGTAAATATTTTACAGCAAAAACTTAATGCTCTTGCTTGTAGAAAAGAAGATTTATTGAAAAAAGTAGAAGAAAAAGTGAAAGGTGAACACATTTTTCAGTTTAATACTCTTGATACTACTATTTTCATTTCATTTTTGGTGATATTCGTGTATTGGTACCTTATTGCAACAACTGCAATTTGTAAACTGCTTGATCTTTATGCAGTCGAACTCTCTTTTAATGAGACCATATTTAACGCAAATGTGATTTAATGTAGAAATTAAAAATACTTGGTTGGTACAATGCTAAGTATATCAAAGCATTGCTTGTTTTAAAGGAGCAATATTTTTGTGATTCACAAAATTTGTTGACCCAATAATTTGTTACTGTTATTACTCCCAAGACATCTACAAGTAATCTCCCTAAACATTTTTAGAAGGGCGGCCCGCTCCGTCTGACTTTTGATCCCTATAAATGCGCTCTTCTAGCCCTTTTTGTAAAAATAAACTGCCATTCCTTTAAAACACTTCTTTTTTTTCAGTAAAAGTTCATTTTCGTAATTACCTTTTTTAATGAAAAGTCCACATCTGATTTATTTAGTTATTGATAATTATTTAACCCTAGTTTTTTATTTCATTCTTTCATTTCAGTAAGATTTTCTTATGTTATATAGTTAATTTTCTATAGTACAGTTAGTTTCTATAGTATAGTTATAGTTTTCTAGTCATATAGTTAAAATTTGCATGATATTCAGCCCCAGCGATATTCAAAAAAATTTTTTTTTTTGGGGGGGGGGGAGGATATTAATGAGTTTTTTATCATTTTAAATTTTTCCTTTTTTTAAATAATAAATAAATATGTGTTTTATTTAAAAATGCATCTTTAAATATTTGTTTTCTCATAATTTTCAGTTTAAAATATTAAAAAAAGCTTTCAAGTTGTTTGCCAATTAATAATTTTTTTAAGTTTATTTGTATTTTTTGAAGAAAATTTATATACAGAGATTGTCTTTTAGCTTGCTATTAATTATTTTTGAAAAGCTTTTAATTTGTCTGTTATTTTGATAATAAGTGAGAATTACTTTGTGAAATATGCACATAAATATAAATTTAAAAATCGGGGATCAAGTTCAGTTATTATGTAATATTACACATTTTGTTAAAATTTAGCTGAAGTTAACCGCTTATCACTTTTTATGCCTAAGATCTTTAAATAAGAATTTTAGAGTTTATTTTGTAAATAATAGGTTGTAAATTAATTATAAAACTTATTGAAATTACATTTTAATATCATTATTGTAGTTATATAATTGGTTTAATGTGTATTTAAAATTTAGATTTAAAAAAAAATCAGCTTGCACTATATACTGCCCTGTCTGAAAAATGAGGTAAAAAGAGTTTATCGAATCAATTATATCTTAAAATAAGTTAAGGATATCTGAATTGTATTATGAAAAACAGGGTTTTGACTTTTTACTCGTAAGTAAATATAACAGTAAATTAAGTTTTATTTTCTAATGTGTTGATAATTTTGTTTGCATATTTCTATTTTATTTTATTTATTTACTAATTTAATTCTAGTGAAGAAACTATATGATGAAAAGAGAGCTTTATATGAAAAAGTCCTGAATCTTTATAGAAAGAACCTAGGATTTCGCATGGGTAACTTTTCATAGTAATTTTTTACCATTTTTTTTCCTCTAAAATATTTTAAAATTTACTTTTAGTTTGTAAAAAATCTCAATAATCTGATAAATTTTAAAAAATTTATTTTTAATTTAAAATTATTATGAAATAAGCTTCATAAAAAACTAAACCTCTTTTGTATTCAGTGGTTTTTATTATTTAGTAATTTTTTACTTTAATTTTTTAAAATTTGTTTTTGATTTAAAGGCACTAAGAACTTTTAGAATAATTCTAAATTGCTTTTGTTATTTATAAAAAAAAAAGATTTGTAAAGGTTCATAAACATTTAATGGTACATTTTGGTTAGCTAGTCTTGAGCAAAATTAAAATTTTTTAACTGTTTAATTTTTTTATGATATTTAATTTATTCTAGTTTTATGTGTTTAAAAAAAGTTGGGTGAAGGTCTACATTTTTTGGTGACTTTTCACTTGGGTCTGCCTAACTGAAAAGTACCTGTTGACTATACTCCATTGCAAGTTAAGAAAATACCATTGCGGTGTAGTGATTTATATAATTATCCGCAACTGCATTTACTTCCATTGTAATTAGTTATCATTAGTTAAACATAGGCTTTCAAAACAATATAAAAGCTTTATAGTTTTTTTTTTTTTAAATTTAAAGGCACAACAAAAGATGACGAAGACGGATCAGATATCACTTTTGTGTTCAATAATATCAGTAAAAAGAATCCCCAACAAATTTTTTCCATATCTTTAATGACAGATGGTGTCGAGTATAAAGGTGAGTTATCTGTGTATTTCTCCATTTATTAAATTATTATTGTTCATTCTATATGTTTTATTGTTTTCATTAAAAAGGGATTTTTGCTGGGAGTAGACCATGATGTCCAATTAGTGTTCTCTTTCGGTACTAATTTTAATCTGGGTTACGAGAAGCTTAAAATTGCTTAACCCTTTGATGCAAATGGGGCACTGGTGTCCCTTATATATATTTTGGTGCTCTAATTCCAAGCAAAAATTCCATTTTAGTATTTTTGAATTTTAAGGCAGTCTAATAGTTGCTAAAATATGTTAGATTATTGGAATGAAATATTTATTAAAATATAAAATTCAAAGACAGTGGTTTGAAGTTTTTTTTTTTATTCATATTAAAAATGTATTAGCAATTGATTTTGTAAATTGAAATGAATTCACTGATGAATAACTGTTTCTTAGATCTAAATAAGTGTAATTTAAAAAAAAAAAATAGTTTGAAAGTTGGTCTTTTTTTTTGTTTTTTTTTTTGTGGATTTTACCTTTAATGTTGAGGACACTGCTGTTTTATGCTGTATTTCGAAACCATAAATTATTAGAATGCTAAATATTATGTTTTAAAATTTACCTAAATTAATACAAGATAATAATAAAAAAAAATGAAAAGTATGTTTAATAAAAATTCTGTGTGAAAAGGTTAAAATATGAGCTGAATAATAGTTGAGCTATACTTGCCTACATCTAAGTCATTTTTGTTGAAAAAAAATCCTGAAAAAAAAATTATAATAAAAAAAAACAAATGTTGCATTATTTTTCCAAAACAAATATAAACAAAATTGGCAGTAAAAATATTTTATTTTTACTTTTTATTTGGAAGAATTAAGTATACCACTACTTATTATCATTTATGGCATGCATTTACTCTAAGAAAATTTCACAAGTAAATATATAGAATGTATTACTTGATTAAAAACTGCACTGGCTTCAAAAATATATAAATAAAAAATAACAATCAGCATGTTTCAAGCTCTTGAAAACAGGCATGAACTTTCAAGACATGCTAGATGTAAATGAGATGAAGCAAAAGTGATTTGAAATTTTAAAAAAATGAAAAGTTGCCAATGAAAAACAGAAAAAAAGGTAAAGCAAAACTAAAAAAAACCACAGTAGCTGAGAGAAAAAAAAAGTAGAAAAATAGAATGAGAAAAACCATGGTGTACGAGAGATGTAAATCAAGGCAAAATGCATTCTGGGCACTATGGAGAGGAGACCAATTTTGTTAACAAGGGAATCAGCATTCTTATGAATAAGACAAGATTCCAGGGCATCAAGATGATCTGATGTTACTTGGTAGGAAATAATTTTGGTATTTTTAAATTTATGCACAAAAATTCGACAATTGATAATTTCTCTTTTTCTTGATAACAGATGTATCTATCATTTTCCTTATGGTTTCTAATCTTATCATTTTTTTAAATGTTAAAGTGCGTCTAGTTTGTCTGATGTGGCCAATGTTGAATTGATAAAGAATGTTTGAAATGCCCCAGTGATTATTAAAACTAATATGATCTTTAAGTGACTTAAATTTAATTTTGTTAATAGGCCTAAAAATGGCTTTGAAACCAAAACGGGAAATTTGTTTCTTTCTGTTACAATGCTTTTTCTAGTTTTGTTTCTCATCTTTATTTTTCCATTCGCAACTTTGCATTTTATATTCCAAATCACTTCTGTTTCTTCCCGTTACCGTCTGGCATGTAGGCGCCTATTTTCGAGCGCTTACATGTTGACTGTTATTTCCAATTTGCATATTATTGAAGCCAATGAAGTTTTTAATCATTAATATCTTACCACTTCAGTCTTAATAGCTTACTACTATAATTAACAGTGGTTTATATAGTGGTAACTATAATTACCACTATATAAACATTATTAATATCTTACCACTCTTGAGTTTATTTACTTAATATATCGAATGTAATTAAGAAAAGAAATTATCATGTAAAATTACTTTTCCTGAAAAAATAGTATGTAGAAATGGAATGCTCTTATTTCCAGTATTTTATTTTTTCTAAATAAGTAGTAGCCCTGATGTATAACACATAGCATACCCCTTCTTCATGTGAGTATTTCTGAGTTATTTCTAATAGTAGAACTTTGTTACTATTTATTTTTGTAATATTAAAAATATGCAGGTTTTACTCAATTTTATTTCGATCTCTAGTTGATATGGTTTATTTGCTGGTTAAATCTTATCTAATTGTTTTTTGTATTTACATTTAAATTATGGTGCAGGCATTAAAGTTTTGCGGTCTTAATATATGAGTTCTTTCTGTCTTATAGTAACCGATTGTCAACCTGCAATTGATTCCTTAGATGAACTTGTTATGGATCTCAATAATAGCAACAATCTTGAAAAATTCATAATTCAAATTCGAAGAAAATTTTGTTTGATTTCAACTATGCCTAATGCTAAATGATTTATCATTTGCATGTTGTTCTATGTTGCTGCTGTAATTTATGCATTATTTTTATTCTTTATTACTGTACATTATTTTAAATTATTTTCATTATTATCTACATATTTTATATTATTTAGCTTGTTGGAAGTTTATTGTAAATTAGCAAAATGTTGTAAATAGTGTGTATATATATTTACATTTTAAAAAAAAGCATATTTCTATGTCAGTGAAATAAAAATCAATAAAATGTTTAATTAAAAGCTTTTTTGCTAATTTTATTTGTGATTTGCAACTATTAAGGTTCAGAAAAGTTTACTTAATATTTTCTTAAAATATGAAACCTCTGTTGCAAAAGATAAATTGTACCTGCTGAAAATTTTTAAAAGAAATCTGAAGGTGTAAGTTAACAATAAAAAGGTCAAAGTTAAGAATAAAATTATTGAAAGTTTTTGAATTATGAGATGTCTAGTCTAGAAGTTTCATTTTCTCTGCCTATTCCTTCGTCATTTGTTCAGAAGTTTTGTTGGAAAGTTGGCTTAATTGCTCTTCATCGAATCCAACAGGGCAGTCAGAAAAAGTTGTGCATTTGTATTCAAAACCACAGCACAAATGTCACTAGTAGCTTTTAGGGTCTTAGAATTTTGTCAAAAAGAAGTTGGTGATAAAATTGTTCGTTTTTCTCATCATAACATTACATTTTAATGATCTGAAAGTAAACATAAATTAAAAAAATGTGATAAATCATCCTTGTTTGAACGATGTAAAACATTGAGCTAGAAACATTTAATAATACGCAGTTTAAAATAAATTTAAAAAAAAAAAAAAAACAGGAACTTTGTAGCCAATTTAATATTAATATCATAATTCAAATTTTGAGATATCGGGGTGGCCACGCACTTGGAATTATGAAAGTTTTTTTTTTACTGGAAAAACCTGGAAACGTAGAATCAGAAATAAATACCTTTTCTTTTACCCATCCTATACTTCATGAGGAAAAAAACACGCTCTGGAAATTGTAAGATTTTTACCTGAAAAAATCGGGGGAAATTGGAAACCTGATTTGAATATCCACCTTTGATATGCTTATTGCATAAATGAGAATTGAGTTATATATGTATTTAAGTAATGCTGCTATTTATATAAAATGTAGTTATTTTAATGTCAATATTGTCTTTGTAATGTGTCAATTGCTTAGTTTTATGTTCTGTTGCTTTAAATAATTTTTTTTTTTTGCAATTCTATTTGTGAAATTTTTGAAGTTATTTGTTTCGATTATGTTTACTAATATTTCAATCACATATGTTGCATTAATATACATTACACTATCGATTGTAATTTGTATAAAATTTTTTTCATTGAAATATTTTTTAATGGACTATTTTTGTTATAAATGCATTTGAATAATAAAATAAGACAAGTATTATTAGTTTTTTTTTTATTTATTAAAAGCAATGAATTAAATAAAAAGTCATACTAGATTTTAAAAACCTCTTGATCCAAAATATTCTTTTAAATATTGTTTTCAAACAAATATTTTTGATGATGAAAATTATCTAAAAGCAAAACAGATCTAATTTAATGACAAAATGAAGGGTTCAATTTATTACAAGAGTCTTAAAAAGTGCTTATTCTATCCTGCCATTTTTCAAAATCTTTTGACATTTGTGTTAAAAAAATGCTTCTTTTAATGTAATGCTTCTTTTATTTTCTTTTTAAAATTAAATTCTTTGTTTTGAGCAACTGATTTTAAATTCCAAATTGGATCTCTTTTCAGAGATAAAAATCAACATAAGTAAAAAAGGAAAAAAAAACTAAGTACATATAAAAAAAATTACGGACTTTTTTCTCACTGATTTTATTGAATTTCCCTGATTTTTGTAACCAGTGGCATAAATTTTACTACTAATATTTAAGTTATCCGTGCATAAATTATATTAAAAAAAAAAACAATATTTGTTTTTTAAACTCTAATTCAGGTGGGGTATTTTAGTTTAATGCCTTGACATTTCCAAACTTATAAAATTCCTATCCTGTTGCCACCCGGGATACTGAAATGCATGCATATATATGTTGATATTTTAACTGCTGACATTTTAAAAATAGGATTAGCCTGTTTTAGAAGCATTTTATATGGTATTACTTTTTATAAAATTTAATCTTGTATATTGACATAAAATTTAATTAATATTAATATTGACATAAGTATTGAATTTTTTACATGGTGTTGTTCTAAATAATTTTAGCACATATCACTTGATTAAAAGTCAAGTATTAAATATATTCCTGTTTTATCAGTCCTTATTTCTTTAGTTTGAGAATCAGCATGGAAACGCTTTAGTGTTGTTAAGATGTTTTATTTATTTATTATTTTTTCTTAAAATTACTGAAATTAAATGGAGCTGATTTTGAAACTAATTTAAAGTTAAGAAAAGTAAACCTAGCAACATTATTTATTATAATTGAAATATGAATTTGTTTCCGGATATGAAAGATTTTGCAATTTCTAAAAAAAGGGTAAGAGAACAAGGAACTTTTATTTGCTTTTCAGCTATTAATTCTAGAGGGAGAAAAATAATGCCTCTTATTTTTGAATGCTGACTACTCTAATATGATTTTCACATTTTATCATGAAACTTTTTTCTCTTTATGCTTAGGCAAGGTAAATTAGAGCCTGTGAAAGAAAATTTTAATTAAGGGAATTCACGTTACACTTCATACAATCATATATATATATTTCTTTGTGGTAAGATACAGTTATTCTTAAAAAATTTACATGTATGTCATAAAGTATTGATTGTATGTTGTTAAAAAGTTTTATGAGAATGTCAAACGTAATTGAAATATTGTGAAATATTAAATAAAAAATACTTTATTTTTTAAGTGAATTTATTTCTAATTATCTGTGNGATACAGTTATTCTTAAAAAATTTACATGTATGTCATAAAGTATTGATTGTATGTTGTTAAAAAGTTTTATGAGAATGTCAAACGTAATTGAAATATTAAATAAAAAATACTTTATTTTTTAAGTGGATTTATTTCTAATTATCTGTGTTTTACAATTTCCTGGGTCCATCTAATCCCTACCGCTGATTAGTAACTGCAATTGAGAGTGAACTGTAATTCGAACATTTCATTCATTATTAAATTGTGATGTTAAAAAAATAATTGATTTTAAATTATTAAAAAAGGAAAAAAAAACATTTATTCATGATTGTCCAAAAGTTTGAGTAGTTATGTCATAAAGTCAGTTTACTTTTTTAAATCTTACAATTTTTATACTATTTACAATGAAACGATGCAGTTTGCACTGAAATGTGGGAGATTTTTTTGAATAAGGAAAAATATTTTATATTAGTCAAATTTTTGACTAAAAGACGGCATTGCAGTTGAATTAATGGACTTATAAAACTGTATTACAATTTATTTTAAACAGTAAAAGTATTTTTGCTTTATAGTTATTCATTGTGTTTGCCATCATTAAGAATTACAGCTGTTAGACAATAGAAGACACGTTGCATAGCGTTAAATAGCATTTCAGCGGGTATTTCTAACCAATACTTCCTAGAACAGTTCTGTCCAACTAGCGGCCTGCATGTGGCCCCCCCCTAACACATATTGTGTGGCCCACCAATTTCTTATTCAGGCTGATCGGCCTCAGTATATGATTGCATAAATTTCTGAGATTAAATATAAACAGGAATCATAGTTCTCTTTATAAAAAATATTTTGACCCTATTTCTGTGAATTTTAAGAATATCCAGTTTTTACGAGAACAAAAGTGGACTTTAAAATAATCCATTTGAAGGATTAGGATTTTCGATCCAGCATCTTTTTTATTTTAAAAATGCTAGATCTTTGAAATAGAATTCCTTAGAGGCATCTAATGTTAGTTGCCTATTTAATGCATTTTCGCTTTGAGATTATATCAACCCCACCTTTAAATTATTTGAGGAAGGAAGTCTAGGAACTCCATTACAAGTTTTAATAAAATATTGGTATAAATGAATAATAACAAATTAATATTAGTTATTTATTATTTTATTTAATGGTCCAGCAGCGGACTGATCGTAGAGACAAGGTTCCCAGTAAAATACTGAAGTCAAGCATCACTGGCTTAGGTGAGTGACCAGTTTGATCAAATTGCCTAGGGACTGAGGTATTGGTCCTCATTGAACTGTTCTACGGTAAAGAGCTCGGCTTCGCACGCAAGTCATCAGGCTACCAAAGCAGAGGAGCCACCCCCTCTGCAGAGGATCAAAATTACGATGGCATGTCTTCGGTTAGGGATGTTTCCCAGACTGTGGCCAATAGCCCATTGTGCAGCTCTAGTGCGACATAAAGTACCTACCTATTTTTTTAATGCAACATTCAAACTTTTTATATTGACCAATAAGTCCTGAATATATAAAAAAAAAGTACTTAATTTATCTACTGAATGTTTTCATTCTAACACAAACTTTTTCTGTTCTTTAGATTTCACTTTTATCTGTTTGAAGAACAGGTCATATGTCAAAACAAACCATTTTATTTCTGTAAAAAAAACTGAAATTTCAAAAAAATTAAGAGCAGAAACATAGATTTTGTAAAAACTACCATATTTAATATTTATCAATAGATGTCACCAACTTAGATAAGAAAATATAACTTTTGTAATTTAAATCACAATGAAAATTGTTGGAAAGTTAGAGATACAAATAAAATTACAAATATAATATATAAAGAGAGAAGGTAACTTCAGTTCAGTTCTTGGAGAACAATTTTTTCGCAAACAGTAAAACATTCATTTTAACAACAAACAAATGAGATAATAACTGATTTTCTTCATAGTTCATGCAAGATATTTAGTAAAAACCTACAAACTAGAACATATTTTTACAGTTTTTGTTATTCGAAACCACATTTTAAATTTTCTGAAGTTTAAAACATTCCTTAAAAATGTAAGTTTAAATAATTGCATATAAATTTATGTAATTGCTGTCAGGGATATGGTTAAACTGATCTTGAACAGAACTCTTAGAATTTCTTGTCTTAAATCGTCCAAAACTGCATAAAATTGTTTACATTTTGTATAACTAAAAATAATTACTATTTCAAAATCCAAATGAACTTATTGCATAGGTGCAACAAAATTGCTTGTATCACATTATAAGGCCACAAGATTTTTGCGCCATACCCTCTGGTTCAAGGAAATAAATTGCAAATGAAAATATTTCATTTTAAATAGCTAAATTGAAACACCATAATTCATTGTATTAATTTCATAAACTCAAGAAAGACTTCTAAAATTTAATACGAAAAGTTAATTTGTATAATTATAGAGAAAAAAAGTAGTTTTTTTGTTGATATATTTAAGAAATGTAGTTATTAGTAAAATTTTTTCATAATCTAATGCTTTTCTTAAACTTCTAACATTTTCACATAAAACTACACTTTTAAAATTAGTATGGACAGTTATAACTCTTTTTAATTAAATTGTTTATATCAAGGCTTAAAAGGCATATATATATATACATATTCAGAGTTCTCCCTAGAAATAAAAAAGGGCACTTTAAGTTTTGAAAGGGAAACTCACTTAACACCGAAAAATGTATGAAAATGTGGTGTAATCTTATGAAATATCTGAATCTGTTCCTAAACAATTTTTAAATCACCCTCTTATACTATTTTATAAGTGTATTTCAAAAAATAATTATCTCTCATTATCATAAATTAAAAAAAAAAGTTAAAAAGCAATCTCTGACAAAAAAAATTTTTTTCAAAAATAATATTAATAAAAAAAAAAAAATATTAATTGAAAAACAAATTTTTTCTATAATTTAAACTGAGAATAATGAACATATAAAGGTACATTTTTTTTTAAAAAAAAAGGTATTAATTCAACAAATAATTTTAAAACCATTAAAAAATGTATTAATATCTCCTCTCCCGAAAAAGGAGATACTTAACAAGTTGAGAATAATCATAACAAAGTAAATATTTGTAAAAGCAATCAGAATTAAACCTATAAACATAGATAATTTTACCAATGAATAATTATTATTTAAACAATGAATTAATTATTTTCAAGATGGAATATGAATAAAAAGACAGTGTTTTTAAAAGGATGGCGGCCTTATTTTTATAAAAAGGGTAGATTTATAGGGATCAAAGGGCAGATCTAAACCCTTCTAAAAACACTTAGGGAGAACACTGACATATTTAATAATAGTTTAAATATTAACTTGTGAATTATTTGCTATAGCTTTGAGTTAATTTATCAATTAAACATTATTGCTTAAATTAAACTTCTACAAAATATAACTATGATGGACAAAAGTTTTGGGCAGTTTAAGACAGAATGATCAAAATCATTGATGGGAATATTTCCATAACGTGAACTGATGCAACAACTACAACCGCCAAATAGATTTTAAACTTGTAAATGTTTTAAAAAAAAAAAAAAGTCGAGGTTTGAACGGGGCTACAAGTTATACCCTTCGAGTTGGTCCCCTTTGGTGATGTTTTTTTTAACAGTTTTTTTGAGAGCCGCTGCCTACTGCAGATCAAGATACGGAAATCTTCCCTCAATGATTTTACTATTGTATCCAAATCCTTGCCATCCCTGATTGTAGCAAGTATATATTCTTTAAAGTTTACAGCATAATTACAACTTAACTACCCCAAACTATGAGGTATAACAGGTCTCATACTTTGAGTCATAATTGGATATGAAATAAGTGCTGTTGATGTGATAATAGTCTGGGGCAAGCTTTGTGAAAGAGATGCAGCAGATATAGTCGGCAGAGTAACTTGAGAAGGAGCAATAGATACAGGTGCAATACCTTGTCCTAGAGCTAGATCTGGTGCAAGTGAAGCAGCCCCAAGATCAGTGCTGAGGGGTATTTGAGACAGCTGAGTAAGTGATGGAGGAGGAAGAGATGGCATCGTTGGTGTAAGAGTATGGGGTATAAGCTGCTGTGAAATCGGTGACACCAAAGTTTGTTTACTCACTCTAAGTTGCGCATTTTGGTCAAGTAAGAATTCATTGGTTGCTGTTAAATCAGCAACTTGCTTTTTGAGTTCTTCAACTCTATGTGAAAGCATTGCATTCCCTTTTTCCAGCATCCTATAATGATCTGGCATCATAGGTCTTCTCTCGTTTCCCATGTACGGATAATCAGCGTACGAATCGTCAAACGCACGGCGTTTGGCTAAGGGTTCATATCTATAGTATGTTTCATATCGATCTTCATCAATACGATCCCTTCTTGTACGGCTGTTATTTTGTGGTGCAGCTTCAATTTGATATTCATAGTTAGATAAATGCCTGAACTTGCATCGACCAGCACGTCTACATTCTCCTTTAAGATAATCTTTGCAAATGGGTATCTTTGATACAAAAATATTCCTCCCTTCCATGTTTTCTATTACGGTATCTGGAAGGCGACCGGTAGATCGAAATATTTCTTCCTCCTGTTTTGTACAATGGATAAACTTGCAGTTGGGACGTCTGCATTCTTTATTTTGAAAGTCATGGCAAAATACAAGGTCTTTTTTACCCAAAGCTTCTGCTTCATGTCCTTCTGGATGTTTATATCGACACATTTTGCCTCTTTTGCAAACATTTCTGAGAAAGTCTCTACAAACACTTTCTTTCGAATCACTATCGTCTCCATTTAGAGAGGAATTGTCATCCTTGGAAAAATTTTTACTCTCAGACATTTTTATCTATTAGAGATAGTTTAACTTAGTAACCAGATTTTAGCATCTAAAAATGTTATTAGATTTGTTGAAATTTAAATTCAGGGAAACTCAAGAGATGATCATTTAGAAAATGACGAGTAATAAAACATCGAGATCAGGCAGAAAGAATTTGCAATTTGAATATATATAAAAACAAATTAATTTGCATAAAATTAGTCAATTTTTTAAAAATTAATAAATCAGTAATTCATGTTTTTAGCATTTATAAATCAAAGATACGATATCAGGACCCAAAGCAACCAGAGACATCAATCGATTATTTTTAGTTCTTGTTGTTGGAGTTGTAGAAGCAAGGCTGTATAATGTTCACTTGTAATCTTCTGTCTCTTAAAAATAAACCCATTTTTTTAGAGCTCTTTTAAGTCTTTCGTTGAAATTACAGTGCTTGTATTATTTTGAAACTTAAATATTAAGTTTTTTTTTCATGAAAAACAAAATATTTGAATAAATAACATTTGACATTTATAAATGAGAACAATTTTGTTTCCTTAATATGGCAATATTGTGATTTTTGCCTTGCATTGCCAGAAAAAGTTCTTTTTTTGTTGATTTATTTTTATAAAACACTCGCTTTATATTTTATGCATTTAATTAGGTTTTATGATTTATTGACAATTGTAAAACTGCATAAATTTCCTAATTTTGTTGTTTAACTCTCCTTGTTTTTATTTTTAATTTTCGTTTATTCGTTTCAATAATCGGCGGCAACTATAAGCCTATAAGGGTATGGAAAAGTATAAACAAGGCATATTTTATTTTACTTCTGCTTGTATTAAATCTCATTTTTAAATATTTGTCTTTTTATTTTCTAATAAATGTTCGTTATAACTAAATATTTAGTTTCTTTCTTTATTTTTTAATGTAGCTGATTTTTGAAAATGTATATATTTTCAAAATTATTCGCAAAGTATTTTGAAAACATTGTTTTTAACATTTTTTTAATGTCAAGATCGGTCTTATAATATATAAATATATAACATGTGTTTTGAAATTATTATCAATACTGAAAATATTTGTATTATCAAGACTAGAAGTTGAAATATGTTAAAAAAATTGGTTCAATGCATCTTATTTTATTTTTTAACGAATATTGGCAATTATATATAATGATATCAATTACGAAACTTTGTTAGTTTAATTTCCTTTTGCAACACATTTGATTTTTTTAGCGTCTTCATTAGAAATATACTATTATTAAAAGTATTTTAAACTTCTAATACAGTAAATTTTGTTACTTACTAAGAAATGCTTTATGAACTGTAAAGAAAGTTCAGGACTATGAAGTTTAATCGAAATAGAGTCGTGAGTAGAAATCACGGAAATTTAGTAACTGGAATGAAGGACCAGTAATTATAAGTTATTACTAGTCTGTACACATTCTCACTAGTTTGCTTACAAATTGCCATTAGTTTTTTGCAAAAAAAAATTCATAATATAAGGAATTTTAATGAAAAGTTACAATGCAGAGACTGTGTAATGTCACAATTATGATGAAATATACAAATTTGTAACTAAAACATAGATTGAAGCATAATCTTTAAAAGAAACAAAGCATACCATCTCTTTATATAGATTGCTGGTTTAGGATACCATTAATAACTGTTTAATAATGGACTGTCAAATTTTAGTTGTTTCAAACCATTAATCCACTGTTAATTTGAATCCTGCATAGGAAATACTGGTAATGAAATTAAGTTTTTTCTTATACTGGTCTTTTGTCTTCATGGCTATGAAAAGTATGAATATACAAAAGAATTTCAATTTATGTTCAAAACAAGAACTTTCAATTTGAGTTAAATTTTTGTTTTGTAAATGTGTTTAAAGTATGAAGAATGTTATTAAAAATCAATGCTTTGCATTATTCAAGAATGTAGTTTTTTACATTTTCATTAAAAGACAGGAAAAAACACTTTGTCCACGTTCTTTAAAAAGTCCATGTCCATTAATATTTTTAGTGAATATAAACCATTTCACATGTTCCTTTTTATTAGAAATTGATTTCTTTTGACGAGTAGGTAATTTTTAAGTTAACAAAATAAAAAAAATTCTCAAAACAGGTAGGATTTTATTAAGGCTTTAAAAACTAGAACACTTTAAAACATAAAACTCTTCAAAAACTGGATTTTTCTTTATCTTTGTTTTCTCCATAATCTTATAAAATAAGATGCAAAATAAAGGAAGTGAAATATATATGTTTCCACTACTTTTTATTCTGTGCCCTCTTATTTTTTTTTGAAACTAATCTCTATAAAATCATGCAAATATTTGGAAGAACTAATTCTTAACATAATTGAAACTGTTATAGCAAGACACAATATATACAATTTAAAGAACCAGTACAATAAATCAAATAAGTAAAATAGTTATCTTGATTTATAAAAATATATTATTAACTTTATTTTTCCAGGACTGTGAATTCTTTCATACGTAAACTATATTAATACTATAGTTAAATTATTAAAAAACCATCTTTCAGAGATAATTACAGTTTCATTATATACTGAGTAATTAAATAAATTAGTAGTATTTATTATTATTAATCAAAACTTACTCTAGAAACTTAATAAAAAACAATTTCTAAGAAAAAAATTCTAAAAATTTTTTTTTTTACAACTCTATGTATAAGTCTGTAAATTTTCACTGTAAGATTAATCTTTTTTAGAAAAATGAAGAGTTTTAATTTTTGAGTAATTTTTATTTTTTGATAGTATTGACTTCAGCTCATATTTTTTAGCCATTCATGTATAACTTTTATTTTATAGAATCAAGCTTGGAAACTTAGTTTGCATACTTCTGCTGGTCATATTTGATGCCTGCTGGTAGTCAAACTCCCAAATCTTCAACTTCTGACACCTCCACAATGAATGGGGAGAATGGGAGCAATAACATATGCCGGGACTATCTAAGAAACGTCTGCAATAGAGGTAATAGTTGTAAGTTTCGCCATCCTGAGGGTGAAGAGGCTAAAGCATTGGGTAAGAAGGATCTTATTTTTTGTCATGACTTTCAGAACAAAGAGTGTAGGCGTGTTAACTGTAGATTTATTCATTGTACTAAACAAGAGGAAGAAATGTATCGTACAAGTGGATTCATATCAGAACAAATTCTGGAAAGTGCTGCCCAGAAAGGGGGTAGTCAACTTCTGCCCAGTATTCCAGTCTGTAAGGACTTTTTAAAAGGTGAATGTAAGCGAGGTGGACGCTGCAAGTTCAGACATATCTCTTCAGGGTTATTTCATATGGAAAATAACAACCTTGGACCTCTTCAACCACCACGCAGAGGTCCATTTGAAAATTTCGAGCGTGCGCCTTTCGATGGCTTTGGAGTTTGTGAACCTCAACCCAAAAGACAAGCGTATGAAGACCATTTCACCCCATTTAACAGTGGTAATGGGGTGCCAGACTCTCATCAGCTTCTATCACATTGTCGTTTACTCCAAGATGAGAATGCTAGATTATTGCATAAAGTTGAGGAACTGAAAAAACAAATAGTTGATTTGACAGCTACTAATGATTTCCTGCGCGACCAAAACGAACAAATGCGTGGCTTAGCGGGTAAAGATTGGTATATGTCTCCATATCAAAACTCTTACCTCTCTTAATGAGGGTTCAGTAATTGTGTAGCTTTTACATCTTTCATCATGTGTCACATTGTTGTTACATAAGTTTTGAAGCATTGGTGTTAGTACAAATCTTTAGTGGTTTTACACAAAATGAATAAATATGATTGTTAAATATTTTAAGAGAATTCGATATTGATTCAGATATTTCCATACTTGGTTATATTAGAGATGTTTTATATTTTTGTTTTGATGTTTGTTATGATAGTATTGGTTTTACTATTACAATTAGTTTTTTAATAATTGCTTATCTTGCCAAATATACAAGGCAATTTCTTCATATTTTGTTTTTTTAATGAAAATTGAATAACCAAATGATAAATGTTCAAAAGATCATTAAGTTCAGGTGTGAAACAATATTTATTTTTAAAAACTAAAATGTGATACTGATTATTGTTCATTTTTAAAGTTAAAATTGACTTTGTATCTAATTCTAAGGTTTATTATTGTAATTTAAAAAAATTCAAATTTAACATCTTCTTTTGATTTAATAAATGTTTATAAAAGCTTTATTTTTTAAAAATAATGCTTCTGATAAAAATGTTGCAAATGTCATAATTAACAATGTAATAAATTTTTCTGGTATTTTTTAAAAAAAATCATTGAAAGTTTATCTTAACTTTGAATAAAAATTTATTAACAAAAATGGTTTAAATAGTGTATATTCTGAAAGAGTACATTTTTTTCTTCTTTTGATTATTATTATCTCTGTTTAATTTCTAAAATTCTTTTTTTTTTTTTTTTAAGTTAAATTTTTTCAAACAAATTTGTTAGAATGTTTGCCATATTGTTTTATTATTTAATAAATGTTAGGCTATTATTCAATGGTGCAAATGCATTTTCTTGCTTAGCTATTTTTTTATCTTTATATATGATTTCTGAAAAAGTTCTTTGTGTTGAGTAAGATCAAAAATTATTATTTTTTCATTGTTTTAAGTCTTAAAAATTACTTTATTCAGAACAAATTGATTATAAGCTGTTAATTTTTTCTTAATAATTTTTTTGTTGACGATTTAAGTACATTATAGTTTAAATATATTTTAAGTTTCATTTTATCATTAAGTGTTTTTTGGTGTGGTGACATTGTTCGAAGAAAGTTATTAGTTTTTATTTCTACATATAAAATTTATGCATCTTCAAAAAGTATTTTCTACAATGTAAAGTAAGTTTGATTATAAAGTTTAAAATTTACTAGAACGACATATTGAGTTTGATTTTTTTTTGTACTTTCAAATGCACAACATTATATTATTAATTACAATACTTACATTACAATTTCTTACTTGATTAAACCTAATATTCAGTTAAATGGAGTAAAATCCTTTTTGAAACATTGAGTGCAAACTCTGTTTCAAAGTTATGGTGGAAATTATTATACTAACAATTAAAATTCAATTCTAATTTTTTATATTAAACTTTTTTTTTTTTTTTTTTTTTTGAAAATTTGAAATTTAATTGTATTAAAAAGTGTAGTTGATTGTATTAAAAAGTGTAATATATAAGTCATAATAATATTTGTAGCATTTAATTTCATGCATTTTGTTTATGATTTATCTTTGAATTCAAGTCTGTTGGAGAGTGTGCTTTGTTAAAAACTGATGACACATGTCTATATCTGTTATTATCAATTTCAAAGTAACCATGTTCTATTATCCCCATAAATTAAGTTTTATTTTATATAGTTAAGTTTTGAAAAAAATTATGTTTAAGGCAAACAAATTAGTAATGTGAATTTCTCCAAGAGACTTATTATTAATTATTTTTTCCCTTACTATTCTTTGTTTTAAAATAATCGAAATTATGATTGCAATTTAAATTTTTTATCTGCACATTTATTATTTTCTTAAAATGTTGCTTTTGTAATTTTAACATTTAAAAAATATGAATTATAGTGACTATTCCACTAAATAAAAAATGCTACAAATTGAACAGTAATTGCTGTTTTATATTATCATACTAATTCAGAACATTTGTGCAAAAAGAATTAGACTCTAAAATTTTTCCGTCTATGTTAAAAATACGTCCATATTCGAATTGCTTTCTTCAAATTTGTATCTTGTTCAATTGTATCTAATTGGTCATAAGTGAAAATTCCGTCCGGTTTACCGGTTTATTGCTCAAATATCTTCAATATCTTTCTAATAAATTAAAGATGTTGGGAAAATATAATTTTTAAAATCAAGTTGAGATACTATTTTGTAATTTTTATTTTTAAATTTTAAATCCTTATGCATTTTCATGTGTTTCAACCATTGCATACTTTACTACTATGCTTTCTTATAGACATAATTTTTTATTTTATTATCAGATTTAATGATAGTAATTGTAGCTATAAATGTTGTTAAAATAGAGTTCCATATGTGTGTAGGTGTTTTAACACATTGATTTTGTGTTTGATCTATGCAATTGAAAATGTAGATAGTTTGTGATAAAAGAAAAACCTTCAATTTGAAATCAAGATGTTAGTTGAAATAATTAAAAATCTCAAACCCACTGCCTTTCAAGTGCATAATTGGCCCTGCTGAGTGTGTTTTATGAATACAAGAATGTTTTGGACATGAAATTATGTTTATCATGATTTTAAAGTTGTAATTTATTAAAAAAAAAGTTAAAATTCATAAAAAGAACACTAATTAAATGTAAAAATAATTCTTATTCACCTATTTTTACCAACCTTTACACACTTTTGTAGTGTTGGATATGATGTGAGCAATAGTAATTTTGAAATGTAAATAAATATTGCAATATATTATGAGGAAATATCAACATTTCATAATATATTCTGATATTTTTTCCCTGTAACTATATCACATCCAACAACATTTTCTATAAACAATTGACGAAAAGTCATTTTTAAAATTTTTTATTAATCATAAAATTTAAAATAAAAATGAGAAATTACAAAAGATACAACACGATACATTTACCAATCAAGTAAAATTTGACACTCGTGACGCTTTTATTTATAATTACTGTTTTTGATGGTCACAAAGATGTTCGTTAGATATTGGCGATAATGATCATGATATTTTTATGCTCCATTATTGTTAACCTGCTATATCGTTATTGCACAATGTATTGGGAGAATATATTCTAAAATATCATTATCAAGGTATTTAAAAACTCAATATTTCTTAGTGTGTCACCCAGTGATCGAATTGATATCAAATGAATTTTTTAGTGTGCTATATTCAAAATACTCATAGATCAAAATTTATTCCTAAATTTTTTCTACTCTTGACTTGTTCTTTCCCTCTCTTATCAATATTTGTTATGTCTGAATGCCATAAACCTAAAACATTACCTTCTGTTCTATATTCATAGAATATAGTAATAAGTAACCAAATTCCAATTTAAAATATTAACAATAACTGAAAGCATATCTATAGATCATTGGTTCTCAACCTTTTTTGGCCTATCACCCTTCTCTATATGTCGCCTTCCCCCTTGAATGTTGACAAGAAACTTTTTTTAAAGTTTTTTTAAATTTTTTTTTTACAAAGAACAAATATTTGATAGAAAATAATTTAAACAGAAGTACATATTTATTTTTTTAGCTTAGAATCTGGGACAATTAAAAAAGTAGATAATTAGAATTTGAAAACAGTATTGTTTATCTTTACAATGTGCTTTCAGTTAGAGTTAGAGCATAAATGTTCGTCGGAGGTTTGCTTTCAAGCAAATGTTCAACCTATTTCTTTGTTCTGAGAGGATCTGTTAGTTATCTCTGTTCAATCCAAAGTATGACAGGAAAGTTCATAGACTTTTTATTTATTTTTTAAACTTTTGATTGTTTGCCTGAGCTCTGAATGATCACTTTTGTATAGATTTTCGATTTCAATATTCCCTAGTTTTTTATCGTTGTTTTTATTTATTTTCTATTGAATACTCATTGTCGCCTGATCATCCACTTGGAGTGCCTCCTCCCCAGGTTGGAAACCACTGCTATAGATCCTGGATTCAAAGTTAGAAATAATTTGTATTCTTTTGTTTGGCACTTATTAAACTATTACAATAACATTTATATTTAATAGATCATTATTGACTTTTATAGTTCAACAAACAATGAATGAAAAGCTATGTACTTGGATTATCTTTAAGATCTGTATCTAAAGTATGTTACTAAATGATTCAAATAATTGAGGTTTTGTATTCAGATCAACTATTTTTTTAATTAACTGACATGATGGTGTCCAGAAGAATGCAGGGCTGATTCTAGTAAATAAGAATTTTTCGATCTTATATTGATCAGTTCTATTTATTATTAGCCTTTCGATAATGTAGTGTTCTCTGTTAAAGCCCATGTTTGTTAGCACTTAAAAAATGGTTCTAAATTCTCTCTTGATTAAAAAATAACTTCTTCATTATTACAATGAAAAAATATGAAATTTTAAAAAGCTTTCTACTAACTTATTTGGATTGCTCATTATTGGCATTTTATTATGTTATTTACTATATATATTTATTTTATATTAAATTTTAAAAAATGGGTAAAAGTTAACAATTGTGTGCCCCTCTTATTATATATATATATACATGTACATGGTGCGTAGCGTTTTTAAAAAGTCCTTATTTTCGATATTCATTTTTTAAAAGCCCTTAAAAGTACTTTTTTCATTGGATATTTCTAAAAAGTGCTTAATTTTTCCTTTTCGAAAATGAAATTTTTTTTCTTGACCATGTCGATTTTCGCAACATATTGTGCAGAATGTGCTTTTCACGTTGTTCTATGCAGCATTTTCACAATTCGTTCAACGATCTATTTCGGCTTACCGTTGGTCCATAGCGTAGGAAAGCGCCAATCATTTTTCATGTTCTATGAAATACTTGTGACTTCGCATTTGCGTCTACGGAGCTGGGTTCGGTGAGATTATTGCACTCTCGTGTGCAATTCTGTTGCATTTTGTAAGATATTCTCAATTTGAGGCTTAATTTTCCACTCTCTGATATCGAACCAAAAAATCTCTTGATCATTTTATAATTTCTAAGATAATCAAGAAAGGAGTTCTTTGTCTGAAACTGGTTATTTTATCGTGATCATGTAAAGTCTTTGAAAATTATTTTGTTAATGTATATAGTGCTTAAAAAT